GCTTGCCTAGCAAGCGCAAGGACCCGAGTTCGATCCCTGGTACCAAAAAAAAAAAAAAACCAAAAAAACCAAAATAAAACAAAAAAATGTGATGTGCAAGGTACTACAGTAGATTTTTAAAGGGTTAAGATACATTTCAACAAACTTACAATCTCATAAACACAAACTCAATAATAAATCATAATGTAGGGCCAGGGATTTAGCTCAGTGGTTTCGCCGCCTGCTGCACAAGCACAAGGACCCGAGTTCAATCCCCAGTACCAAAAAAAACCCCTCAAAACAAAATAAATCATAATGTAAAGCAGAATGAAGTATGTTCCATGACAGTTACAAAGTGTGGGGGAGAAGAAGGGAGAGTGGATGACAGGAGTAGAGAAACAAGTGAGGAATACCTACAGGTTGTATGAAGTGGACAGCTTTTGAACTAGACACAGAGAGATGAATAACCTTTCAATGGCAAGCTGTTGAAAATGCCCACTGAAAAGGAAAAACACAAAGTATGGGATTTTAGGAAAGCAAACAGCTCTACTCCCTAGAATTCTGGGATATAAGCAAGGATGGAAAGATAAGCTAGAATGAGGAAGGTTCTGAATGTTGCAATGAAGAGTTCTCATTTGATTCCAAGGGAACTGTGGAATCCCTGCGGTGTTAAGGGAAGGAGAGCGAAATATTAGCCCAATTCTAATCATGGTACTCCCTATCCAAAAAAGAACCCTTCCAGTTGGCTTTGCACTGGGGCCACTGGGGTCTCAATCTGAATGCAGCTGTGCCTAAACTAAATGAAATTATTTGCTCAACACCAAAAAACAAAACAAAACACTCTTAAGACATATTGAAAGCAAAATTAAGACCATTTAAAGTACTCAAAAGTACAAAAACAAGCCAGGCATGGAGGCACATGCCTATAATCTCACCACTCTGGGAGACTAAGGCAGAAGGATTGCAAGTTTGAACCCAGCCTGGGAAACATAGCAACTCAGTGAGGCTGTCTCAAAAAATAAAATAAAGGGCCAGGGATTTAGCTCAGTGGTTTCGCCACCTGCTGCGCAAGCACAAGGACCCAAGTTCGATCCCCGGTACCAAAAATAAATAAATAAAATAAAATAAATTAAAATAAAATAAAATGAAATGAAAAGGCTGAAGATGTAGCCCAGTAAAAAAGCCCTGGGTTTAATCCTAGTAACCCTCCACCCCCCTGCACAAATAAAAGAGACCATAACCTGAAATATAACAACCCTGAATCAAAATATTTTAAAAGACATGACTCTGAAGATATGTCAGTTCATACAGCAAGCAATAAATGTCCAATCCATTATCATTTACTAAATAAATAAAACTCAATTGTAATTATCCATCCATTTGAGATAATTAGTGGATCTTCCAAAGGTGCTTTCTTATATAATTTAAATATACAAATTACAACCTTTGCCAATAATTTATTTGATAAGTAATGAAAATATTTGGCCAAGATTAGATTGAATTAAAATAGTAGTCTAATTAGATTAAGTTAGATGAAACTTTAGATTAAGCACTGTTCTGTGTAGGGCATTATAAAGGCAAGGAAAATAAAAGCTTTAAGGATATCTAGTTAAGGATTCAAGATGTATATAAGTCAAATGTCAAAGATTGGTATGTAAGTCAACATTACAATATACATAGAGTACACATAGTATACCACACTAGGTTTTCCTCTTCCTTACCTTTAGCCCCCACTGTTCCCATAATCTTTCCACAAGTCTCAAACTCTCATTCAAAAATGACTTTCTCCAGCTCCCATCTGAATGCTAAGTTCTTCACCACTCAGGTTGAATAGTTACTGGTCTCATAGTTCACCAACTCTCAGATCCATATCGCCTGGACTAATTGTTGATTTCTGAGGCAGATGTCCATCAAAAAAGTTATCTACTTACATGTTCCAGATTTGATTTTAGAACTAATGGCTCATCTCTTTTTTTCTGTTCATCCACTTTCTTCTTCCCTGTTTCTGTATCTTCTGGTAACAACTTATAGATTAGATCTTCAGAGGTTTTCTCCTCTTGTAACTTTTCTTCTCTCAGCTAAAATATATAAATAACACAAAGAAAATAGAATGTTAAGCAATTCTAAACTTAAAAAACTATTTTACCCTGTAGTCTAGAACAAACATTACATGGCAGTCTTAAGACTGTTTTTCTTATTCAATTTAAGAATCTGCTTTTAGTTGGCTCTTACCAAACATATATTTCATGGCTTAAAAGTTAACTGCTCTGCATTCTTTAAAAAAAAGGCTTATTAACACAGACCAAAAACAGCTAAGCCTAAAAACTCTCCTTATTCCCACAAGCCAAATGCAACTGCACTGGACCAGGAGAGAGTAGAAATGGCCAAAAGTACCAGAGAAACTGGATTAAGTCTCATGGCCAGCAACAAAAAGACAGCACAGTTTCAATGTCTGAAGACAATTTTGATTGTCCCAACTGGGGGAGTCAGGTGTTTGTGCTACCAGCATTTAGTGCATAGAGGCTAGGGATTGCTGTTAAACATCCAAGATGCATAAGATAGTCCCTCGGCATGCATGTATATGTGTTTGCATGTGTATGTATGTATGTGTGTGTGTGTGTGTATATATATATATATATTACATATATAGCATATATATGCTATTTTGAAAAAACAATAATAAATTTTATGGGTTTTTGGGTATTTAATAGTGTTTACATACTGTGTTCTAGAATCTAGAATATAATGTTTTGTCTCCTTTTTCTCTTTTTTGACAGTCTTGCTGTGTAGCCCAAGCTGGCTTCAAACTTGTGATCCTCCTGCCATATAGGTACTCCTAATAATTTTATTGCCACTAGCTAAGTTTTGACAGTAGACTTGGATTGCTAGCAAAACCGCCTCTTAATTGCAGTGGTGAATCACAGCTCAAAGACAGTCACCTTAAGAAAATGAACAATTAACAAAAGTGAAAAATTAGTATACCCATTTAGTTATGCTAGTATTTTCTCTATATAGGTGTCATATTATGATATATATTTTTTTGGTTTTTGTCCATGCTTTCTGACTCATAACCTCCATAGCTCTTGCTATTTTTCTAAGTAACTAGGATAAAATGGGACATTTTAGGCCTTCGAAGACACAACTCCCTCTCTGACTTTTTGTCCTCCTTTTTACCTGCTCCTTTTTTTCTCGAAGGCAGGCCATACATAGAAACTAGAATTTCTCTTCGCAAGTCAGGGCATAGAAACTAAAAATATAACCTACATCTTCTCATCTCCCTGTTCACCTTTTCTGTCTTGGAGCTGACCATAAAGAAATTTTAGAAGGGGTCCTGCATCACACCCAGAAGAAAAGAATGTTGCACAGAGAAGCAAGAAAGTCTTAAACAGACAACCTCTGTTGGGTTTCCTGACTTAGTCCAACAGCATTATCCTTTTTGTCCAGTCATATTTGTACAAGGTTGTCCAAGCTTCAAGTATGTACCATAAAAATACAGCAGGACTGGTTTTGGAGATAGCTTCTAGATAGCTGAACACATGGTGACTCCTGGAGGGTGGTGTGTCTAGAGAAGGTATGAAAGCTCTGTACTGCTTCCCATATGACTTGCTATGACTTATGGATCTCTTCATTGTATCTTTTGTGATATATTTTTTATAATAAGTTAGGGAACATAAGTGTTTCACTGAGTTCTGTGAAGCACTTAAGCAAACAAATCAAACTTGATGAGTGTTATGACTTGTATCTAGATGTCCCCCCAAATCCTCAGGCACTCATAGGTGGGCCTTTCAAGCTGGCTGGACCTGGGGCCTGATGCTGGGATTAAAAGTGCCTCACTCTGGGTATGGGTGGCACTGCCGAAGGGCAAGCAGCCTGGATGAAATATAAAGGAAGGCTTGCTTGCTGCTGTGCTGCCTCCTGCCTACTCTGTTTGTCCTCTGTGATGCCCCTCTGCCATGAGAGAAATTAAGTCTGGGTCAGGTTTTTTCCCACTATATACTCAGAATTGGGTTTTGTAGAAGGTGGGGGGGGGGGTTGGTTCTTTTCAGTAATTATTTATAAAAATTTGGAAAATTAGTCTCTAGGAGAGTGATTTTATACTCAAGGGTCAAAAAGTAGCATTATAAATGTGAATTTAAAAAAGCAATAGTTGCTAGGTGTTTTGCCACAGGCTTATAATCCCAGCACTTTGAGAGGCTGAGGGAGGAGGATTGCAGGTTCAGGTCCAGCCTGGACAAATGTGAGACTCTGTCTCAAAATTAAAAATTGGAAAAAAACAAAACAAAACTGCAGATGTAGCTCAGTGCAAAGGCCTGACTCAATCCCAGTATCTCACACACACAGAGACACACATAAACACACACACACACACACACACACACAGAAGAAAGGAAGGGAGGGAGGGAGGCAGGAAAGGAGGGAGGAAAGGAGGGAGGCAGGGAAAGAAAGATCAATAGCTGCTACTTAATGAATTCTTCTGTGTTCCCAGGCAACAGGTTTATAAAGCTTATCTTAACAAGGTAGGAAGAGCAGATGTTTTTAACTTTAATCGCTGCTCCTCAAAAACATTCTATTGCAGTGAGGTAGGTGTTCCTTAGCCCATGATTGACAGGAAGGCTTATCTTGTACTTCTCTTTAGTCTTTCAGATTGGCAGCTAAACATTTGAGTTATATAGTACTTGGTTCAGTTAACATGTAAACTTGGATGCCTACAGTGAATTTTATATGCTTTCCTACATAATGTATGTAGTAATCTGAAAAACCGGTATCAAAGTAATTTTATATACCTTATTTATTACATAAGGGAGAAAAGTTAATGTTATTTTGGCTTAAATATTTTAGATAAGCCGAATTCTAAATCTAACATTTAAATTGAAAGATGTTCTATAATTTAAAGTGAAGAACATAGTATCATAAGTATGATTTCTTTAAAATTTTATCAGAATCATAAGAGCAAATTAGCTGCTTTGGTACTATTTCTATGATCAAGTAAAAGTCATGGCTTTACCCTTGTATGCAAGAGGTCATTTGCTATCATTCCAGGATGCTGTGAAATGGAAGCTGAGAGTAGTCCTAATGTACCTAAAATACACTCTTTTTGTGGACAGCATCAACCATATTCATCAACTATTCCCTATAGAAATAACCATTAGTGCCAAATGAGTCTCAGAACCAAAAAGAACCAAAGCAGTAGTTGCTCTAGATAGGAAAGTACATTCCAATGTACTGAAGCTAGTTTGACTAACAAGTTCATTATGTTTTGAAATAATGGTTCTGTAGCAGTGGACTATGCTGCTTTTTATCTGTTTGTATTATATTCCTTTTATAACACCCATATGAATTTAAAATATTTTAAAATGTGAACAAAAATGCATTAAACCTAATTATTGAGATGTGATACTTAATGGGTATGTTCTTATGGAGTACTATCTATGCATATGATGTTATATTTCCTGAAAATATATTGAAAATTAATGTAAAGTTTACCAGTACTATCTTTGTGAAGCCTCTTAGTTATCTAGATCCCAGTTTGAGCCCAAGAATAACTCAAAAGCAAGTAAAATGTACATAACTTAAAATTCATCAAGTATCTTCAAATACCTTATAAGAGAAATCTGGTATAATTTGTCAGGGGAAAGATCAACGAAACATCATGAGGCTTTATGAACCTACATTTCTCACAAATCATTCAGTAATAGACCATTTTACTAATTGAGATATGAAAGTGAGAAATTATGGATGCATGATCTTCTAGTCTTTAAAGTGTCATTGGGCTATAAAATGTAATAAAGAAAAATATGTATAAATTATTTTTTATTAGAGTTACCCTAGTAGGTGTGAAATGGCATCTCATTGTGGCTTTGATGTGCATTTCTCTAATGACTGATGATATTGAGCATCTTTTCATGTGTTTGTTTGCCTCCCATAAATTTCTTAGGTGTTACATATGTTCAAATCTTTTGCCTGTTTTAAAAACTGAATTATTAATTTTTTTGTTGTTGAATTTTGATAGATCTCTATATATTCTTGATACAAGTCCTTTATCAGTTGTATTCTTTGCAAATGTTTTTCTCTGTCTTCTTTAAGGATCTTGATCTGGCCCAGGGATCCACCTCTCTAACTCCCAAACAAGAGCCACAGTCGGAGTAGTGGCCCATAAATCTGCTCTTGGGGAAATTCCCAACTCAGAGGCAGGTACAGAAACACTTCAAACTGTCCAAAGTGAACCTTTGGCGGTGGACAAACTCATCTATATGGGTTGCATCTCATGGAGACAATTATAAGAGAGTAAATTACAGGAAAAGACATGTGCAGTTAACATATGGAACATGACTCAGCATGAGCTGTCAAACGCCAAAAATAGCTTTCTTGGAAAGCCTTGGACCCTTGATCAGAAATAAAAGACCCCTCTTCCTTATCCTTTGCGCTGCTGTGGGTCTTTTCAACAGCCTACTCTGCAGAATGTACTTCTTTTCTGCTTTCACTAAATGTACACTTTCACTGCCTTTTGAGTCTTGTCCAATTCTTTGTTTATAACACCAAGAACCTGGAAAAAAGCCCCACATGACCCTCCATCCAGTAACAGAAGGACATTCACTTACGACAAGTAAAAAGAGTTCTAAGTCACTGATCATGAACGGCAAAAACAGACCTTCACTACCCAAAGTTCATGAAGTTGGGAATTATGTGTGCTTCATACCACTAACTCTTCAGCTTCCAACTATGATTTTTTGACAGTCTTCCATTTTTATTCAAACAGCAGCAATAGAGGTGGCTCCTTTGTGCTAGATTTTTCAGAATTCTAGTTAAAGAATAATAATGATTAATACTTATATATGAATTTCTACATGCCAGCATTATCTCATAATAAACTTATAAGCTAGATATTGTAGGGTACATTTTATAGATCAAGAAACTGAGACATGGAAAAATTAAGTAGTTTGCCTAAATTCACATACTAGCAAATGCAGAGGTAGGATCTGAACTCAGGCAGTTGGCCTTTAATTACTACAATACTGCCTCTCAAGTTTTAGTAAATGCCTGTATTTTTTTAAAATCTGAGATAAACAAAGTTGACTCA